TATCTCGCGCGCTGCGATTGATCCAAAGTAAGATGTCAATGTGTTGTGTGCAAGCATGTTGGTTAAATAAGCAGTTATCTCGCGCGCTGCGATTGGTTCAAAGTAAAATGTCAATGTGTTGTGTGCAAGCATGTTGGTTGAATAAGCAGATATCTCGCGCGATGCGATTGATTCAAAGTAAGATGTCAATGTGTTGTGTGCAAGCATGTTGGTTAAATAAGCAGTTATCTCGAACGCTGCGATTGGTTCAAAGTAAAATGTCAATTCTGTACCATGACAATTTCACAAACATACAAAATCTACTTAAGGTACACACGTAAGGACAAAAGCGAATGAGTAGGTAGGTAGTTAGTTCACATACCTTAAGCTGCTTTGGAATGAGATGCCTTGTAGCAATCGCAAGTTTTTCTTCTTGGGTGTATCCAGGTACTTGGATAAGCTGCATCATAGTAAGGAGAGTGAGCGAATTGCGTATCTCATCTCACCTAACTTAACTAAATTCCTCTTCCTCAACTTCATCTGACCACATCTCACCTTAAATACACTTCATATAACACCACCACCTCACCTCACAGCAAAAACTCACCCTAACTCACCTCACCTCACCTCACCTCACCTCACCTCACCTCACCTCACCTCACCTCACCTCACCTCACCTCAAGCACACCACACCACACCTCATCATATCATCTCACCTGACTAAACCTTAGCAATGTCCATCTTATACCTCACCACCTCACCTACCCTACCTCACATAAAGCCAGCTCGCCAGTGACCTTACCTCACAATACTACAACACACTATACCACACCAATAAACCTAACCTTAACACACGTCACAGACACATCCATAATTTGCGTCATAATAAACTTAGTCTCCATCAAAAGCCAAAAGAAAAGCCAAAATACTACAACTTCCTCGATAGCATTTGAAACTGTGTCCGTCGCGCGACCTGAAACGATGCGCAATGACTGCGGGTCTTTTGTGCGATGAAAAGGCAGCACCGCATTTTCCAGTTATTCATCTCATAACGCAATTTTTTGATGAGTCTTTCCATCGATGTTTCAAAAGGCTACTACACGCACTTAGTTCTCACCTCCATTCTGTCTAGAAGAGCAGGTGGAATAGTAGATATGCTGTTTGCAGTGGCTATGAACAGAACCTGTCAAACAATGAACATAACATATTACAAAGATGATTTTACAGTAACTTTGCATTCCTTTGCATGGTCTGCCTCTCGACTACATATAGTTGCATTTTTTATTCATTTTTTGCTCGATAATGCTCGAATATATTTTCAATATGTATTTTTAGTTTTATACTGTCGCAGTGATTTATTAGATCCATTGCACTGAGTCCCGAGAAGAATTGTTCTGGGGGACAAAACAATGGATTTATTTATTTATTTATTTATTTTGCCCTAACAAAAGACGGCCTCTTTGAAAGTACCTTGGCGCCTCGCTTGAGCGCTTTGTGTTTGACCAGTGAACCGATGTATGGAAAATGGTGAATGAAAATTACCTGTGATAGATCAAATGGCAGATTGAGGTAGCTGTGTAGTGGTGTTAAGGTAGCCAACTAGAAGCAACAGCGTAGAAGTAGTAAGCAGTAAAAAACAAACAGCTGTTCCCAACGAATGCTTGCAGAATTCAAACAACAACAGTTTTCTTAGACAAGTGTAATATACAGAATAGGCTGTCATGAACATAAAACCCAGTTGAGTTGACTGCATTCCCCGAAAGTAATTATGGGCCAACTATTTTTTGGTTAGCATTTTCCTAACAGGGGCTGAGCACAATGTGGATTTCTCGTGAGGAATGAACTAGAATTCCACCATCAATTCAAAGAATAGCATTTACGATCAATTTAAAGAAAGAATAATTCATATCTTATTGGTTTTCTTGGCAGAATCACAGGAAATGCTAATCAAATTATTATGTTGAATCCTCAATTCTGATCAATTGACCTCGAATTTGTTCTGAAGGTCAACTCAGCTGGACTATTTGATCTGATGAAATGGTTGTTCAAATCCAAAGGATACTGGTCAACAAAAGTCCAGTTTTGCTCAGGGTCCAGTACTTCTAACAGAGCAGATGAGGGATCACCATGAAGGCTCTTAGTCTGAAAGACAGAAGAGGATGTGTTTTACTAAGGGATTAGCTATATGACTTTGTAATAGTATCATGTGGTAGAATAAAATCTGAATAAAGGACACACTAAGGGAAAACAGAACCCACTAACTATTTGAATGAGCATACAGCCAGTCCTACCCAAATTACAAATATGACCTGGAAGTTCCCTGTTAATATTGTTGATGAACAGGCCAGCAAAAGTGTCCATGATATTTATACTAATAATATCTATTTAATTAATAGACCCCTTGCATGTGACGTCAAGGAGCTCAATTTGGAGAACAAAACAAAAGAATCTCCTGAGAATGGGAAACCTATTGTTTTGCGGCATTCCTAAACGCTGCAAGGGGTTTATACATTCTTCATACTTGGTCTCATCCTCATACTACTCTCTTTGCTGTTTAACATGAGATCATGCATGTGACTTGCCTCTCCAATGCGTGTTAGCTCTGAAGAATCCACCATTTTAAATTTGGGAGGGCTGACAATGAGGAGGAAGGACTGGGGAAGGAGGCTACTTCATACTTACCAGTTTATCTATTTCATCCAGTAAAATAACAGGGTTCTTTACTCCTACAGACTTGAGGGCTGTTAGGATTCTCCCTGGCATTGAGCCAACATATGTCCTCCTGAAAACACAAGAAAAACTTTTCAGTATCTATTAAGCTTTATCTGTCGTATCACAGCGTTGGACAACCACAACAGAACTAGGCTCCAACTAGGTGAAAGCCCAAAGATCAAATTGGAATCAAGAAGTTAATTGATGCAGAGGGAGGAAAACTGGAGAAAAACCCTCTAAGCACAGGTGAGAACCAACGAACAACTCTACTCACATATATGACACCGAGACTGACAGCACTCAAACCCGGGTCGCATTGGTGAGAAGCAGCACATAAGGTGGCTCATATCACTCTGTCTGAGAATACTCTCTATTGGTATAGATATATTATTTTTTTATATTATTTTACCTGTGTCCTCTTATGTCTGACTGGTCATGGATCCCTCCTAATGAGATCCTGTGAAACTCTCTTCCAAGTGTGTTGGCTATTGACCTGCCAACACTTGTCTTACCCACCCCAGGTGGACCAACAAAACACAGAATTGGACCTGTAAATAGTAGTAGTAACAATGATAATAATAATTTACATTTATACTAATAATTAATAATTAATACTAATTATTAATCATTAAATATTAATTAAATATTAATTGAATATTATTCAAATATTAATTGAATATTAATTGAATATTAATTGAATATTAATTAAATATTAATCATTGATTATATAATTAATATTAATACTAATATCGAGTCACATTAAAAGACACCCAGGCGACATTATAAAATAATATTTATCACAGTACCTTTTAAGCTGTTTTTCAGTTTTCTGACAGCCAGATACTCAATTACTCTTCTCTTCAACTTTTCCAGGCCATAGTGATCCTGATCTAAATCATGCCTTTGAATAAAAAAATTACGAATATTATAAAATATCATCAATAGAGGTCACCAATAGGCTTGAAGTAATAGAAAACGTGCTAACATGCTGCGTACCACATGGGATGGTAAAAATTAAAGAAGTTTTAGGAGAAGCATGAATTAAAACAGCAGTTATTTTGGATACAAACCAGGGCTTAAAATGATAGCCAAACATTGGACAATGTCTGGCTGGAACTGGGACTTGACTGGTCAAATCTTCACCTTAACCTTCACCTTAATGTTTAGTCAGAAATTAGGTAAGACTAAGCTAAAACTATTTTGGCCTGTGATCATGACTGATGACTAATCAGCAAGTATTTTAAACCCTGTGAACGGGATGAAATAAAGCATGCACATGTCACTGCTGGGTGTGCAGAATGTTTTGATACCCCATGTGGTGATGGGAGGGCAGAGGAAGAAATACCCTAGGATATTTCATTGCCTTCTCACCTTGCTTGTGCAATGTCCAGTTTGTCCTTGGTTTCCTTGCTCCATGGCAAGTCAGTCATCCATTCCAAATAATTCCTGGAAATAGGTTTAAGGTTAATGGGTGCCTTCTCAAAAGTATCATGGATGCAAGTCTAATGCAAGGAAATACAAAAGCAATCAAGCTTTTTTTTGATGGAATTTGTGTAATCTCTTTTGTATTTCATGTTAGCCTGGCAATCAAGATAATTTAAGAACGGTCCATTAACTTGACTAAAATGTATGATTCTGCATGAGGCCAGGGGGTGCTTACCATTCAACCAAACCATCCGGTTGGAAATTCATTCACTAATGGTAAGAAAATATCTGGAAACTTTGACTTTCAAAAAATGATACACACGTCTACCCAAAGCACCGAAATGAGCTGGAAAAGTGGATTACCTCAATCGCATGACAGAGTTTTCCAGAACTTTCCAATTGGAATCTCACATACCATTTGTTTTTCAACAAGAATTTCCAGTTTTTCCAGGTAAATGGTAAGCACCCCAGGTTTTATTTGAATCTAGAATTCAAATTCTTTGACATATATTTATTCTAACCTTGTTGTGGCATGTTCTGGAAACTGGGGAGGCATTTTCTTTAAACGCTGAAAAAAAWAGATATTCAGAGATATATGGTATGCATTCTAAACAGTGACCCCCTATAAGTATCTGATAAAAGAGTTCTTAGTTGAGACTCTGCAGCTTGCTGACTGCTATGCAGCTCAAAATCAAAGCTAAATTGAATGGATAGAACTGTGGTGTTATAATGTTAGATCATCACAGTGAATAAGAGATCTAAGCCATATAGGTAATAAGTGTGAATTGAATTTATAGTGGCTTAATGAACCCAACAAAAATGACCACTCACCAACAGGATTGGCTTCATAGCTCAGTTGGTAGAGCATCGCAAGTCATGGGTTCAATTCCCATTGAAGCCTGAAATCATTTTTTCAGGTCTTTCTTAACAGTGTTCGCTTACATCACTTATTCACTGTGATGATCAACACTCTAACATAAAATAATTTTGATGGAGTAACAAAGTTCAAGCCAACCTTGAGTTCTTTCATTGCAACTTTCAAAGCATGCTCTGGTAACTCAGCGGCTTTTATTTTCCCCTCCAGTTCCTCAATGTCATCCTCGTCGTCGTTATCGTCATCACCATCAAAACCTTTGTTGATCCTTATTGGGAAAGATCCACCACCAAACTATAAGAAATAAAAAATGAAAATAAAAATGAAAAAAAGAGTATATTCTATTATCAGAATTCTTCAAAATGAAACTCAGAATAAGTACCGTATAGCACTGTATAAAGGAATCAACAACTTCTTTCACAGGAAAAAAGTCGAAAGGGTTTCAAGATTGTGTTGCAGCCATATTCATCTACAATATTTCTAGGGAAATCACTGACTAAGAGTTCTTACCTTTTTCATCTGCTTTGTTCTCTTTGGGTCACTTGACCTTGAAATCTTCTTAACTGGCTCTCCCAATTTTAGTCCCTAAAGTTGATACATTATTTAATACAATACACCTAAGAGACCCTTCTCAAAGGACTTCGGAACACCTTAGAATTTGGGATAAACTACTTACTGCTTGCTGTCTTTTCAAGAGATGAAGTGCTTTCTTGAATCTTTCAACCAAGTCAGTTGTGTTTAAGACCTGAGCGTAACAACAGGTGTAATAAGAGTCTTTTATTAGCAATAAATGACTGACAAACATGCCATTTGATGAAAGTCATATCACTGACTTGGCTATCCTTGGTACTAGGAAGAAGAAAAAATATATCCTCTGCTATGCTTTCTTTATTTAATTTATACCATAGATGTAATTAGACTTGGTGCAAGGTTTATCCATCTGAGACTGCATGCCATTCCCTAGAGTATCATTTCTTTGTTTAATGGTTGCACATGGGGACACACTCAAACAAATAAACTTATTCTCTAGGGAATGATGAGTGATATGAAATTGGTAAACATTGTATCAAGATAAATTAGGACTAATCCTTGCATAGCAAACTAGAAACAGGCACAATAGTTCCTAGCAGACTGTAGGTGTTTAGAGGAACCTTTTAATGTGAAACGAAAAAACAGATGTCTTATACTACATGTACCTCTAGTTTTTCATCAAATGTAGCTTTGACAATGGAAGCAAGGGTGTCTGGGAGGCTGTGGTCTGGCAGAGCACTCAGCATTTCCTTTAAATTAAAAATGACATTTATAATTTCGATATTTATTGCAAAGATGTGAAACTTGTTTCTGCAAATTCCTTTTCAATACGTGTGGAAATAGCTTTTATCAAAATGACATTTATAATTTTGATATTTATTGCAGAGATGTGAAACTTGTTTCTGCAAATTCCTTTTCAATATGACGTGGAAATAGCTTTTATTGAAGTTGGACCTATAGTCAAGCATTAATTTGTTTTTAAAGTCATATGTTAGTTAATATTTAAACTCCATAATCTCTTCAAAGATTAGTGTGGACACACTAACTGGGTCCACTTGAAGAAAGTTAATCAATCATGACACAAAGTAAAAACAAAGGAATTAAACTCAAGTCAAACTTGAATCAATAAGGAACAAGCATCAAAACCGAGATATATTTGAGAAGACAACGTAGACGTTATCAACAACCGTAGGAATTAATCATGATTAGCTGAGACCAATATGATACTGATTTAGCTCTCTCCTGATTTAATAGCTAAAGCTTCTTTAATCTTAAATTTCGTTAAAGTGTTCCCCATTTGAGTGTTTCTGCACTGTAATAAAATTCATATGTTCAAAATATTAGAATTTTCTAGTAGATCTTAAACCTGCACTGTTTATAGAGTGTAGTTGCTTGTTAATATGTAACTTATTCAGACTTCGCTGCAGATTACCTTAAGCCTGGTAATGACAGGGATCTTTCCATCAAGCATGTCAACTATGTCTTCAGCTAAAATTCGAAATTCCACTGCTATTGAAGTCAATTCTGCATTTTTCTTGATGTCCATTTCTTGGAAGGGAAAGATGTGTAAGTTAGCATAAATGTGCCAAATGTCAACTGATGATATTGAATTGACTTGAAAAATCTCTCACTTTATCTATAACGTAATTTATTAACCATCCATTTACATTTGGAGTTGAGATCAAGTACTATCCCTACTTCCTTGCGGTATTTTCCGAACTTGGGCTCATCGGCCAGAGTTCAGAAAGAAGGTTTCATATTTGCCAGTTTTCATGCTTGAAAATGTTTAAGAGAGGAAGAGAGAAACATAGAGAGGGGTAGTTTGTTCACACCTTTTAATAAACCTTAGAGTTTGGCCAGTAACTGGTTACCAACTTCCAACACTGTCACATTCCCTTTACCTATTTCTGTTTGTATTTCTCCAGTAGTGTTTCTTAAATCCTTGTTTCCTTCTACCATTCCATTTCAAAGCCATTATTCCACCTTCATCACTCTAATCTTAAATCCCATTCCCATTTTTAGACTTTTTTTCCATATCCCAAAGTTGTCTTATTCCACATTCCAGGTGTTCCTGTCCCATTTTTCTTTATTCCAACTTTTTCCATTTCTATTCTTTTCTTTTTACTTTTATCACTTGGTCCAAATTCCTTTCTAAATGTGTCGGTCACCCAAGCCTGATTTCTCCACATCTGTCACTGGAGTTGTCCTCTATACCTTACCTTGTTTTGAGGGGGAATCCATCTGTGTAATGTTACCAATAAGAAACGGTACTTCCTGGATAATGCTGTCAATACGAAATCTACAAAGTCCAGTCACCAGCAAAGTGTAGAGAGGTTTTGGCCAGTTTGTACCAGTAACCTGGACAATGACAGCTGCTGTACCCAAGGTGTTCACTAATACCTGGCTAGAATGCTGAATGAAGAATGTAATGACTTAGCAATATAATTTTTGGACAGTATACAATGTGTCTTCCAACCAAGTATCAAATTTCACAACTTTATATTACAGACTCTTTTAGCTTGGGTATAATATTTTCCTATTTCAGACTAAATGTCATTCCCCAGAGTAGCATTTCTTCCCCATATTCTGTACCCTTATTGCTTGTAGAATGGAGTCAGTGAGACACAGGGAGTCCACTTCAAATAAGGACTCATTGTATATACATAAACAAGCTAGCATTATCCTTCACTATGATGGAAGGGTTAGGCTTCACGAATTTGCAACGTCCCCTGTGATTGGTTAGGTTTAAGGGTGGGGCTGGGGAAAGGTCATTGTTTTCTATTGTTCTATACATGTGCCCCCTCCAATAGGATCACGTCTTGCAAATTCGTGAAGGACGACCCTGATGCAAACTCGCTATCACCACATATCTTGATATTGCAATGCCAACATGTTTGGGGGGCCAGGGTAGCCCACCCTACCTCTTGTTTCATGAAAATTCTATGATGTCTAGATCTACATCGCACAGCTGGTATACACAAAGAAAATATTGTCAAATTGCATGAAAAATTCTGCATGTTTCATACAATTTGTTGAAAATAAAAGCATACAAAGGAATTTTAAACATCAATAATCTGGTATTGCATTGAGTTTTGCTGGACAATGAAAGCAAAAACAAATATACGAGTTGTTGTTTTTGATGTTATATAAGCTTATTTTACAAAGGTACATTATTTTTATCTTTAACTATTATATAAACACAAACCTCTTCGTTTGATCGTCGTGGGACCACACCAACGAGCACACTTCTTAGCAAATCTCTCTTCAACAGCCTTGAGTCCATCATACGAATGCTACAAATAAAAGTTATATAAGATAAATTGACGTTATTAGACCAAAATAAGTACAACGTCAGACAGAATTACAGCATTCGTTCATTTTGCATTTTAACCCATAATCAAGGAAATCCTACCTTGCATTATCCCTTATTGCTATTCTCATTGAAGAGCCTGGAAGAAGGACCTTATCTTCTAGTATTAGCAATGGGAGCCTTGATGGAATATCCATGTTGGTCGCCATTTTGATTCTCAGGTAATGCAACCCTTTTGAGTGGGGCCTGTTACCGATGATGACAGGTATGTTTACTTCCGGTACAAAATTTAAGGTAGCCGTGTACTTCTCAAAGGATTAACTAACTAAAGTAAACATAGCGTCTGGAAATTATCAGAGAGAATTTATTAGTACAAGGAATAAGTTTGTTTTCATAGAAGAAGTTTTTAAAAGGTCGTACCACTCCTCTAATTTTACCCTTACCTTCCCTACCCCCACCCTCCTGAGTCACCTACTAGTAATAACGCCAACTAAAATCTTAGCACAAATCCAAAGTTCAGGCTAAAAGTCCTATAGCAATGACCTTAACCCTAATCCTAGCACAGCCCTATCCAAGTTTAGGGTTAGAAACCCTAGAAAATTAAAGTTGGGGTTAGAAACCCTAGAAAATTAAAGTTGGGGTTAGAAACCCTAGAAAATTAAAGTTGGGGTTAGAAGCCCTAGCGCAATTCCCATTCAAGTTGCGGTTAGAAACGCTAGCGCAAACCCTAACCAAGTTGGGRTTATAACCCTAGCACTAACCCTAGCCAAGTTGGAGTTATAACGGCTAGTGCAAACCCTACCCATGAGTTGGGGTTATAACCCTAGCGCAAACTCTACCCAAGTTGGGGTTACAAATTAGCCCCTAGTGCATGCAAACTTCCGAGAAAACCTTCCGAGGATAGAACCCTGGCGCAAATGTAAATTGTGAGCATTTGCTTTTAATATTGGAATTTGACGTATGTATAATCACTCATATGCATTATTAAAATTACGGGAGAATCCAGATGCGTTACGTCATCGCATTGAAAAGAAGACATGCATAAGCACGGTTCCAGATAGTACATTATTGTAATTATTACGTGACGTCATTATATACCAAAATGAAGAAATGAATGGATAGATGGATGGATGGATGACCGGACGGACGGGCGGACAGAAAAAAAGATGCCGATATAGGGTCGATATAGGGTCGATATAGGGTCGATATATGCCAAATAAATGACCGGCAATTTCCATGTGAAATATAAATGACGGCGTTTACAAATTTACATCTTTTCCACGTGCAAGTCAAAATAGAAAAAAAGTGTTAATAATTCAGTTTCACGTGAAGAATGAAAGATTAGTATTTAGGACAAAAGGACTTCCTGCATTTCTCACTTGCCAATGCTCTTCCACTAAACTTTCTCGTTTTTCAGTTTCATTACTATTTTTATTTCACTACCATTTTTTTATTAATTCCAATCAGCTGAGTTTTTAGCCCTGGTTTGTACTGTCATTCACACCGTGAAAACTTTAAGAATGCTGCGGTGAGAGTAATAAACGCGTTACTTATCATCCGATCACGCTTTCGGTCACGCCACAGGACAGCTTTCTTCGCCCGTGCTCGCCCGTGATGCAACTATAATGATGAAAAGGTAAATTATACACCGTGAAAAGATGAAAAAACTTACTGACGTTTCGGACGCTAGTCCTTCGTCGGAGTAAAAGAGAAAGAAGT